CCACCACCAATGATATTAGCACGATAATGATGGCCAGTGGCTGGCGGATGCCGACGAGTTTTATTAATATCGTACGGCACGTCACGATGCATGCGCAGGAAATGCTTTTTCACGTGATCGGCTCGATTAAATTGTTTAAGACATACATAACACTGAAATGGCTTCTCATCTTTATGTATATTCTCATGCCGCGTATAAAGATCCCGACGATCTGTCGAGTAAGGACAGTGAGTGCAGACATAGCGTTTCTGTACACCGCCGTTATTGGTTTGTTGTTGATGATGTTGTTGTTGCTGTATCTGATGGGATTTTTTGCGATTGTTATTTGTTGAATTTCCTCCAGCATTAATTGCAGAATTCGTTGTGGAAGAACTTGGGTTATTGTTGCCAGTATTACCAGGTGCACTTTGCTGTTGCTGTTGTTGTTGAGCAAATGTATTACCAGAACTCGACGGAGTTGCATACATGATTTCATTACCTCCATTATTTATAATAGGTGATGTGGTATGATCTTGACGATTTTTGGCTCTAAAAGATAAAGAATTTACAAAATATGTTAATAATAAATATGTAAATGTATTTTCCATACAAATATATCGTATATATATGCATATAACTAAAAACACTTCGAAAGCTTTTTCTGAAGAGGTCATACATAGATGATGGCAGCCTTATTGCGATACCAGATCCTAGACGAGTACTAATGTCACGTGTTACATAATCCGCTCAGGTTCCTCAACAAATTTGACATCTACTTATGTTGACTTCTTGGCCCTAGAGGTGATTGAAAACAGAAGTTGGCTATGTCTGGTTGCTCAAGTGTGACAAAAGCATGGCAGTTAACTGCATGATTGCATTACTTTCACGCCCTAGATCAAAATAAAAAGTGATATGCTTAGTCGAAAATGGCGGGTTGGTCTTTTTTCATGCACATGATACTTTTAGCTTATGAGGTAGTATATATCTCAATCTTTTAAGACTCGCCATTAAAGACTGAATTACTTAAGAGAATTTTTGAATTCTTTATTCCGCCGTGTCTAATATTTAGTAGAATCCAAATGAATTAACTTCAACGTTCCGGTAAGCGCGCATCAAGATGCTACGAACCCGTTAGATTACTTCAATGTCATGCATGTTATGACCTCTATTCGCCTTCCTCCTATCAGACAGATTCTTCTCGGATGATGACGATGAAATTGTCAAAAGAAAACTTTTACTGCTGTACCATGTTTGAGCCGGGTTAACGTTCATATTTACACTCTATGCCACTTGTGGTATAGGGTATATTAAATTTGTGCGGTGTTATGTAGCGCTGCTTTTGGATCCATCCCCCTTTGATTATAACAGTTCAGAATCATTTTTTGGCCGCAATTTTGGAGATATTTTAATGATTGATTGGCCGATTGGATCACCTTCTTGATCACTCCACATATAAGGTCCAAATTTGAAAAGTCGTTAGATAAGAAAAAATTGCAATTTTCAAAATTTCTCGGCAAAAGTCACTGAATCTTTATAGTTTCATAATGGGAAATTGACAAAGAAATCAATCTTACCTAATTTAAACCACGTACGTCTATTTCTTAGATACTATATAGGGGATTCTTAAGAAATGTAAATCTTTATTAGCCAAAAAAACCTACTTGTTAATGTTTTGCGCTGAAAATTTGTTAATTATCCAAATTTGATTCACATGGATCTATTTCTTGGATTCCATTTCATGTTAGGGCTCTCATGATTGATAAGCCATTTAGAAAGAGATTTTAAAATTTGTGTGATGAAAATTGATCCGTAGTAGATGATTTGGCTTACCACAGGTTATTGAGACGCCACCACACACACGTAAACATCCTAATCAAAAGTTAGCTTTTCTACGACTCCAATGCCTAATTTGTACTTTTCTTATGAAATATAATAAAATCCTTGACAAGTAAATTATTAATTTTGCGAAATTGTGACCACGTCAAATGAAGTATTGGGTGTGATTGAATATGCGAATTTTCATTAAAAGTGTGCATCTACACAAAATCAATATATGCTTTTTGCTGATGAATGAATAACTGTACTAGCACAAAGTGATGGTTCTTGAGCGATTTGTTGCAGTCGTTTTTTTTTAATTCTACAATCGTTATAAGGCAGAAAGTAGAGGATCACGCTATGCTTGTTGCCATGAGTGCGACAGCCAGATGCGAATAATGTTAAAGACTACCTTTTAATAATAAAGAAAATAATTTAAAATTTGAAATAATAGAATTTTCTAATAAGTTGACTGTCTAATCTACATAGAGATACAGTTTTTTACGCTAGTGACAGACAGACAGACATAAATGAAATATTTCAATCATAAAAAAGTTTTTCCAGTTTATATTTTCTAATTGCAATAAATAGATTTTGTCCTTTAGATTTCAAGAGAAGACGTTCACTTCGAATCGTTCCATTAGAAAGGGAAAAAAGAAGGGATTAAATGATACGCATTTATAACGATGATTTCGTACCGAAATATGTTAACGGTCATTGGGGTTGGGATCCGGAGAAGGATTGCTTACAATTTAATTCGCGCACTGCCGATACAAGAGAGGCGGGAAATGAGATTCTTCCGACTTGTGGTTTTAAATATCTTGCAAGCCTTAACCAAGTGGAAGAGTTAATATTCCGTCAGGAATTTCAAAGATCGCCCACCACATACGATGCCGATGTCATCTTATTACACGATATTAGAAGCTTGGTTACATATTTGGCACCTCCTGAAATAATAACCCAAAACTTTTGCGAATTTATAAACACGAAAATAGTGCATCGATTTTTGAAAGCTTTAATTATATATTTTGATTATTTTTTAAAACTGGTAGAGATTATCATAATAAGACGCGATGAGATAAGTGGCGATAAGGCTCAAATCCAAAGTATAGAGAGCAATGAACTGAAGCAAGTTTATTCCGCTAATTTGTCACAATATCGCTTATTGTTGGCTCGAGAATACAGCGACGTAGTTTTGGGTATGGGCGAGGTAAAGAAATTTCATCATCTTGCCCCTATTGTTAACATATCAAGGTCCATTAAGGATAGAGCTTTTCATGAAGCATTTTTAGGCTATTCAACTCAAGTTGTATGGATCGCACTGCATCGAAGGGATTTTCATTTAATTGATATGGAAATGAATCGTTTGTTTCGCTCCGAGCACTTTAGTTTGCCAACAAACGATCGATTCAAGTTTACTAAAGCCGAGGCTCGTATGTTATATGGAAAGAATTACAAAAGATGCAATTATCGGTCTCAAAGTTCACCGTTGATCCAGGAGTTGACCAACGTGGAAAAACATAACCTACCAATATTGTGGATAGGAAAGCGGAAATATCGCGGTAATGACGTGAGAATATTAGAAATTGAATTGCAATTTATCGTTAATGCCGCGCAAATGTCTTTGGCTGATATCAGTTTGGGTATATTAGGGCATCCAAAATATTTGTACAATACTATGCTGAAACTTGACTGGGAAGCTGTACGACGTCACAATTTCTCGAAATCGTACGATCCTTATCGAATTGTAAAACAACCGTATTTGAATATTCCTTCCCGGACTCAAGAAGAATTAAGAAAATTGTATAAAACCTATGGATCGCGTTATGAACTCGAAACCACAATGGAGTATTGGACACCTGCTATGGTACGTAAATGGTCGAAAGTCCATAGCATTGTGGAGTATTTTAAGACCGAGGGCATACTTACCGATGTTTGGATTAGATGTACTCGCGAGGTTGAGGATACTTCTTACTTAGGCGTAGAAGAGATTATGAAAACATTCAATGAACAGAAAGAGAAACTTAGGAAGAAGAAGCATTAGGATTAATAACGAGAAATAAATATTTCTTATTGAGCTTCTCAAATATTAGTTTTCATTTATTTTATACGACAAATTTTGATTTCACATCATGGCTGTTACCATGAATGATAAGTGTTTGTGCGTATACTTTGAAGGAAATTTTTTTATGTACGCAACATAAAAAATATCGTTCGTCTGAGGCCTCAAAGAACTTGGATTGTGGCAGGAAAAAGTGACAGTAAATGAGTTCTTGTCGTAATAGCTACCTATTTCCCTAACTTTAAACAAGAAAGTGCGTTCTTCGAGGCCGCGAAGAGTGAGAAGGCGGAGACGATGAATGCCACTTCGAAAGACTTACTTCGAAAACCTAATTTCGAAATACGTTTGCCTAGTGGCGAACTTAAGTCTCAAGTTATCTTTTTTCTTTTCCTCATTTCTGATCTGATAGAGGATAGTTCAAAAAACGATCTCAAAATACTCCTAACAAATTTGAGATTTTTTTTACTAAACGTAGCAGTCGTTTAGTAAGAGATTTAAGGACGTTTTCGGTAGATACGTCTAATATTCGATTGTTTATTGGAAGATTTTTTTCGACATTTCTGCTATTCAGTGATGGAAGATGACTAACTTCATTCCTAAAGTGTTTGTAATTTATATAAATTGCGTTTCAAAGTTAACGACCGGTTTCAACACGTTGATGTCAATTCATATCTTTTGTCCCGATATATGAACAAATGTGTCTCTTGTGCAAAAAGCGATTTATTCGAATAAAGTGTTCACAATATTGCCTTACCAATAACATAGAGGCGAAAGAGTGGAAATACCGTATTGTCTAAAAGGAAGATGGCTTCAAACGACTTGTCGTCTTCAGGAATTTCAGAATTTATCTGGTTTGGCAAGTAATCGGGTTATAGAAAAAGCCCGAAGGGGCTTTTTTTCCATTTCATCTCTGTGAACAAGTCAACCGAGAACTGGTTGCACAGCGAACATGAAACCTAAAATTGTGATATAATCAATCTAAGCAGAATAGTGAGTTCTGAATTTCAGCACTTCCGCTACGGCTAACCGAATAGCGTTGCATTTCACTAGTAATTGTGTCGCTGTGTCTTTAATACTATATTAAAATCATCTTCTTGCCTTAATCAACGCTTACTATCGCTTTGTGTTCACTAAAAATTGGATAATTTGTTCAAAAATTCAGAAAACGATTCTAAATCGATCGGTATAATAAAATTTGGATCTATCTCAAGTCCTTCTGGATGTTGTATGCGTACATTCGCGTAAACACTCGTGTAATACAAACCGCGTAGGTTAGTAGGTTATTAAAATATGAACAGATTTTATTAATGTCCAATATGTTACATATAAAATTGCGAGTCTACAGACAGTAACATAGGCTTTCTTGCAGAATTTTTAAGAAGAAAATGTTAAGACGGCAAACGTCCGCAATATAATTTTTTTTTTTTTTGTGTGTTAATCAGACTTTTCTCCGCATCGCTCACGATGTACACATTAAGTAACAATCCGGCAATAAAATGCACTTGAAATCCACTGTGGATGAGGTTTTTTTACCTGCCAAGTCAACGTACCCGTAATAGACCTTTTGAGTGAATAAAACAAAAAAAAACTCATGACATTGTCTCTTAAGCATTTCTTTTAGTTAAAAGAGGAAGAAAATAGTTCCATTGAAAATGTCAAGAATATTATTGACACGCCTATTATAAAAATTCAATCACCCAATTCATATTGATGTTGGTCAGCACATAAAAGACGGATCTATTCGACATGTCGCGATGACAAAGCTCGTATCCACTTGATTTGTAACTAATGCGGATGCGAGTCACAAACTTAATTAATAACTCAGCATGCTTCCAATTCGAAATGGTGAATATGAATTTTCTTCCTTTTTTTTTTTTCAGTTTAAGTTTAAACATTGGTATCGAGAAACATCAATATATGTTTTTCTGCTCACGTAGAACGTTTTATTGATTACAATATTATTAATTAATTAAAATCGCCCTCTTCGCAATATAATGTTACGCATACATAAGGATATTTTCGTACCGAAATATGTTAATGGTCGTTTTACTTGGAATGAGGAAAAGGAACGCATTCAATTTGAGTCACGTGAGAAGGCTGTCAAGGAAGCAGAACACAGTGAGTTTGTAATCACCAACGGTTACAAATTTGCCGCATCAATGAACCAACGGGAAGAGTCAGTCTTTCGCCAGGAATTTCAAAGATCGGAGAATACATACGATGCGGATGTTATACTAATAGAAGATATTAAAAATGTGGTCACGTTTCTCTCACCCCGTGATATGATAACTAAAGATTTTCTGCTATTTCTTAACACCGACACAGTAAATTTACTTATGGGGACTATGATTATGTATTTTGATTATTTTCTAAAAATAGCAGAATTTTTATTGATACGACGTGATGATATATGCGGTGAAAATGCTCGAGCAGAAAGTGAGGAGAGCACTAAAATGAAACGCGTATTTTCGGAACACTTATCGCAATACCGTATATTAGTAGCTCGCGAGTATAGCAAAATTGTTTTATGTTTAGGCGATTTGAAGGAATTCTATCACGTAGTACCTGTAACGAATGTCTGGTTGACAAAAAAGGATCAAAATTTTCATGAATCATTTTTGGCATTTTGCATTCAAGTAGTTTGGATTGCGATGCATCGACGTTGCTTCAATTTAATAGAAACTGAAATCAATCGTTTATTTCGCTCTGAACATTTCAAATTGAGACGATCTAAGGCACAATTTACTAAAGCTGAAGCACGTTTATTGTATGGCAAAAACTACAGACGATGCAACTATCGAGCTCAAAATTCACCATTAATTCAGGAATTATATAATGTAGAGACTCATAATTTACCAATTTTATGGTTAGGAAAGCGAAAATACCGCGGCACTGATCTTAGGATAATGCAACTTGAATTGGAATTCACATTGTCATCTGCTCACCTGACCTTAATAGATGCCAGTCGAGGCATATTGGGTCATCCCAAAATTCTATACAACACCTTACTAAGTTTTGATTGGGAAAAGGCGCGCACACAGAACTTTACAGAAGGCGACGATCCCTATCGGCTTATCAGACAACCATGCCTGGAGTTGCCGCATCTGGATGAGGAGAAAATAAGAAAGCTTAGCAAAACCTATGCCACGGATTGCGAATTGAAAGAATTGCCTCGAGATAAATGGACTCCAGATACAATTAAAAAGTGGACAACAATTAAAAGAATTATGAAGTACTTTGAAGCGAAAGGCGTTCTTGAAGATATTACATTGAAAATTAAAAATGAGCTACAAGATAAATCTCACGGTCCAAGTGTGCAAGAGATTTTAAAAAATTTTATAGCCCGAAAGGAGAAGCTAAGAAAGTTTTGATTCCATACATATATATATATATTTGAATAAATTTTATATTTTTCTACTTTACGAAATTATATTCGTTATTGTTTAAAGGGCCAATTAGTTTGGGGTTAAAGCATTTTCGCATTCCGCGCAATTTGCAAATCATTCATGGAAGACTTGACATCCTCCGAAAGCTGCGGGCACATCTTTTTTTATTTTTTTTTTGTTATAAACAGGCACAGGAAGGATTATGGGAAGAGTGGCAGCAGTGCTTATAAATAAATCTTCATCTTGAACCTTCAAGTAGAGTAGGAAAGGTGATTGCTAGTAGATCGTTCCAAGGGCGCGGAGTGTGGTTAAAGAACGATCAATCGCGGTAGTACGATTGTGTTTTGCGGTGTGCAGGTAACTACAGGGCGAGTGGTTGGGAACGATGAGAAAGCCGCGGAGTTCATCTAAATGAGTAAATTCGTCTCTGTGGAACACTTGCCCTGGATGTACCTGTACATAAGCACAACGTAATCCACATCACGCCGATGGTCAAGGACACCGCGTTTTACACACACCTTCGTCACCCATGAGTATTGGTTGCAGTGAAATATTTTTTGGCCCGCTTTAAAAACCCCATTGCCTTTGAATGCGTCTTTCGATACTTCGAACACATGTTCTGCCCAATGAAGATTGCTTCCTATTCTCATGCCCACTTGATTTGATATACTTCTCGTTTTATTTCAATTTCCGTTTATATCGTAATTTCAACAGATAAGAATTAAAGCAAGGTCAAGCGAGGAGTCTTGAACATGTCGTTGTTTTTTTATTTTTAAACCATTAAAACAAAGGATATATCCGAATAGATATTGATTTAGATGGTTAAGATATGCTTTAGCTTTGATAGAAACGAAGTCATTTTAATACGACGCATTGTTAGAACTATTGTATACATGACAAGTTTCAAATAATGATGGGTTAATTGGATAGCATCCGACGGGGGCCGAAAGGTGTTTCTCATTATACGAAACAACGCTTTAGGGGAAAACTTGTTTGTATTGATTGGTTATGATTGCTGATGGGAAGTTGGTCGGTCGCCTTTGATACCTCCAACAAGAAAAAAATGATCTTACGTTTCAATGACCGCTTGATAGCAAAACCGAATGTTAACTCACTTCAATTCTCTCTTTTTATACGTCCAGGAGGACTTGAGGTAAACCTACCTTCTATTGTACCAAACGATTTAGAAAATGCTTCTGTGTTTACTTATTAAGTTTTCTTTCTGTCCGCTAGTCTGACTTAAAATAGACTAAGTTTTTATTACACCTATCGATTCAGCATCACTTTCTGAATCGATCACAGCTGGCCTTTCCCTCTGACCGTCGTCTTTCCTAGTGTTCAACTTACATGCCATAATTTTTCAGATCGTTTGATGAAATTTGATAAACGTACGTTGAAAATGGTTGGAATTGGGCCACTTTTTCGACCACTTCCCATATAACGCTTTATTTTGAATTAATTATATGAATACGTGATGAAAGTTATTTATTGGTGGCCATGGTCCATCATAGTTTTTTTACTTGTTTTAATAGGGGATTAACTACAGCGATCTTTCAGAAACCTATTAAAAAAGTTTCAGTCGATACGGACGGTCTAAACATATTTCATTTCAAGGAACGGCGATAAATTCTCTCTTTTTCGGAAGATTCACATAGAACTCAAAATAGAAATGCATCAGAATTCTTTGTAAAACTTAAGTGGTGAATCGATAAAAGTTCACCTCAAAGGGGAATAAAGGTAATACATTTTTTATCAATATATTTCTTGCTACGACGTCTTTCAGACGTGTTTTCTTTTATTAATTTGTTTTTTTTTTTGTGTAACAAATTTGTGACCATTATAAACCGCTCTCCCTCCAATCTCCTTGCGAAAATCTACAATGATACGCGTTCATAAAGATGATTTTGTTCCAAGGTACGTCAATGGGCATTGGGTTTGGAACGAAGAAAACGAGATTTTCAAGTTCAATTCAAGAAATGAAGCTACGAAAAACGCAGCTAAAGAAGAATTCGTCGTAACAGGCGGATATAAATTTCTTACATCGCTTAATCAATTAGAAGAACTCATTTTCCGTCAGGACTATCAAAGATCCGCCATAAGTAGTGATGCCGATGCTGTTACGTCACTCGATGTTGTCAATTTGGTGACATTTTTGGCGCCGGATGAAATGATGAACAGGACTTTTTTGGAATTCATTAATACTTGTGCAGTGCATCAGCTTTTAAAGGCTTTGACCCTGTATTTTAGTTACTTCTTGAAAGTAGTCGAATTTATTTTGATAAGACGCGACGAGAAAACTACCAGTTTGCAAAGTGATGAAAGCACTCAAATGAAGTTTATGCTATCAAGTCATTTAACACAATATCGTTTGCTGGTGGCTCGAGCGTATAGCACAATCCTTTTGGGCGAAGGTGAGGTACGGAAATTTCACCACATTCAGCGCTTCACTAAGATATCGAGAACGATGAATGATAGAATAACGCATGAACAATTTTTGGCATTTTGCACTCAATATATATGGGTAACCATGCATCGACGTGCTTATGACGTTATTGATATGGAAATGAATCGTTTGTTCCGTTCGGAACATTTCAAATTGACACGGAATGAAAAAATAAGATTTACTGGTATTGAGGCCAAGATGCTGTACGGCAAGCATTACAGACGCCGTGATTACCGAAATCAAAGTTCACCTTTAATTCAGGAAATAATTAACGTGGAAAGACATAATTTACCAATTTTATGGTTAGGAAGGCGAAAATACCGTGGTACCGATCTTCGGATAAAAACGATGGAAATCGAATTTGTTGTTAGGACTGCACAATCGGGTATAATCTCAGCTAGTTATGGTATATTAGGCCATCCCAGATGTCTTTACAATACGCTATTAGAACCTGATTGGGAGGCAATACGCTTTTCGAATTTTTCTAAAGACTACGATCCATATTTTATTGTAACGCAACCCTCTCTGAAAATACCAGACTTGAATGAAGAGAAAATAAGAAAGCTTAGCGAAACCTATGATTCGTATTACACATTTACAAGTCCTGTTAAGATGTGGTCAGATGAAACGATCAATAAATGGCTGAGACGTAGCCGAACGGAGGGTTCAGTTATAGATATTTGGGCCAAATGTAGCATCGAAATTGGCGATAAGTCCCGCGGCTTAAGCGTGACAAGAATGCTGCAACGCTATGTGCTCAAGAATTTAATACATAAAAAGAAATCGATAATTTTAAAAAAGCTGAAAGGAGAGCTTTATAATAAATAAATTATGCATGGCTATATAAATGAAAAATTTGACAATTTTCTTTTTTTTCAGAGATGTTATCCGTTTCGCATAAAGAATTTCCCAG